CTCCGCTCCGGGCCACTGGGCATTCTCCCCGCTCCGCTCCGGGCCACTGGGCATTCTCCCCGCTCTGCTCCGGGCCACTGGGCATTCTCCCCGCTCTGCTCCGGGCCGTCGTCCCCACTTTGCATCATCAATCTATGATTCTCAAGGTCAGTTAAGAACGGGTAATAGCTAGCAACACCCACATCCTATGAAAGAATTTTTCAAAGCTGGCATGTAATTCCCTGGTTTTCCTCTGTCACTTTAGCCTTAATTGTGCTTTTCTAATTCTAACCCCTTGAGCATCCTAACATTCAATTGCACCACCATTGATTGATATATGTTGAGCTGCCTGGGGCTTTAAACTCTCAAATTCCCTTCCTAAACCTCTTAACCTTGCTACTTCACTTTCATAGAATCCCTACAGCGTGGAAACAGGCCCTTCAAGCCAACAAGTCCACACTGACCCTCAGAGTATCCCACCCAGACCCATCCTGCATAACCCACCTAATCTACACGTCCCTGGACACTCCGGGCAATTTAGCATGGCCAATCCACCTAACCTGCACATCTTTGGACTGTGGAAGGAAACCGGAGCACCTGGAGGAAACCCACGCACACACGGGGAGAACGTGCAAACTCCACACAGACAGTCACCCAAGAGTGGAATCAAACCCAGGTCCCTGGCAATGATGAGGCAGCAGTGCTAACCACTGAGCCACCGTGCCATCATTCTTTCTCTTAACACTCTTGCAAAACCTTCCTCTTTGAGTAAGTCTGTGACCAATATCTTCTTATATTGCTTGTTGGTAGTCTTGTTTTATAATGTCTTTGTGAAGTGCCTTGAGATAATTTACTGTGTTAAATGTTTTACATAATCTCATATTGTTATTGTTGTTATTGACAGCAAATGAATAAAGATCTATCAGAGGATCAGTAAATATATTTGAAAGAGATTTTCTGAAACTATATACCTCTCAGACATTTGGTGCCTCCATTAGAGTTGTAGGCTGTCACTCTATCTTCCCCCCTCCTCAGCAGAGTTAGTGCCCTCTGCTGATCCTGTATTCATAAGTTAGGGGGAGGCGATGGCCACGTGGTATTATCACTGCTCTGTTAATCCAGAGAATGTTCTGGGGACCCAGGTTCAAATCCAGCCACAGCATATGGTGGAATTTGAATTCAATAAATATCAGGAATTAAGAATCTAATGATGACTATGCATCCATTGCTGATTGTTGGAAAAACCCATCAGGTTCACTAATGTCCTTTAGGGAAGGAAATGGCCATCTTTACCTGGTCTGACCTACATGTGACTTCCAGACCCACAGCAATGTGGTTGACTCTTAACTGCCCCCTGGGCAATTAGGGATGGGCAATAAATGTTGCCTGGCCAGCAATGCCCTCATCCTATGAATGAATAAAGGAAGTCACCATACAGGAAATCAGTGAGCAGGAATTCCTGGAACAACCCCAGGCTCTCAAAAGAGATTTACAGAAGTTCCTATTTTGAAAGAATCAACAACATACTCTATCTTTGGTATCATAAGATGCCCATTCAGTCTGCTCCTTTATTGAATCATGGCTGATCTGTTTCTCAGCCCCATTTCTCCTGTCTTCTTCCCATAACCCTTGATCCCTTTACTAAACAAGAACCTATCTATCTCTGTCTAAATAAAAACACAAAAATGACAAGGCCTCCACAGCCTTCTGTGGCAATGAGTTCCACCCATTGTCTGAAGAAATCCCTCCTCATCTCAGTTGTAATGCCCCTTCACTTGAGGGTGTGCCCTCAAGTACTAGTCTCTCCTACTGGAGAGACATCTTCCTCACATCCACTCTATCCAGGCTTCTCAGTATTCTCTAAGTTTTAATGAGATCCCCCTTATCTTTCTGAGCTCCGTCAATACACACCCATGTATTTCCATCTTTTTCCTTTGAAAGATTTTAAATTGCATTACTTATAAAAATATCCAAGTTTCATTTTGTTCCTAAGAATCACCTGATGTTGATGGACCTAGATAGGGTTTCATTCACCACTTGCTATGAAATTGCTTGTTCACAGAAGTGGTCCATTGCTCTGTTTTAGCTGATTCCTAGTCCATATAAAAGCATAGGAAATAGGAAGAGGAGGAGGCCATTCAGCCCCTTGAGCCTGCTCCACCATTCAGTAGGAAAATAGCTGATCTCACATTCCTCATGCACACTTTCCTGTCTGTTCGCTGTAACCCATGATGTCCCTACTCATCAAGAGTCTATATGTCTCAGCCTTAAATATACACAAGGACTCTGTCCCCACAGCTCTTTGTGGCAATGGTTTCCAAAGACTCTCAATCAATTGAGAGACAAAATTCCTTCTCATCTCAGTCTTAAGTTGATGCCCCTTTATTCTGAGACTGGTCCTAGACTCTCCTGTGAGTGAAAAGCCCTCTCAGCATTTATTTCATAGAACCCCTACAGTGTGGAAACAGGCCCTTCAGCCCAACAAGTCCACACCAACCCTCAGAGCATCCCACACAGGCTCATTCCCCAAACCCACCTCTACACACTACAGGCAAAACTCTATACAGACAGTTGCCCGAATAGGAATTGAACCCAGGCCCCAAGGCTGTGAGGCAGCCGTGCTAACCACTGAGCCACTGTGCCACAGTGCCACACTGCAGTTTTTCTCTATTTAAATGATATTCTGTTCTTTCGTTCTCCCTTCCAAAATGAACAATTTCACATTTTCCCCCATCATACTCCATTTGCCAATTTTTTTGCCCACTTACTTAACCTATCATTATCTTGCTGTAAACTATTTGTCTCTCTCTCGCAACTTGCCTTTCCACCTACTTTTGTGTTGTCTGCAAATTTATCTGCAGTATGGTTGCTCACTTCCTCCAAGTCATTCATATATATTGTAAACAGTTGTGGTCACAGCACTGATCTCACTGATCTCCTTTGCTCACAGGTCGCCAACCTGAAAAAAATCCTTTCCTCCAATTCCTGTTTCCATTAGTCAATTCTCTATCCATGCTGATATGCTACCTCCAACACCATGGGCTCTTAACTAAGGTACATTGTCGAACACCTTCTGGAAGTCCAAATCCACCACATCTATTGGTTCCCCTGTATCCACTCTGGTTGAAACTTTGTCAAAAAACTCTAATTAATTAGTCAGACACAATTTCCCTTTCATGAAACCATGCTGAATCTCCTTCAATATTGATTTATTTATTGTCACATGTACTGAAATATAGTGAAAAGCTTTGTTTGCAAGCAGTACAGGCAAATCACACTAAGCAAAGGATGTACAGATCAAAAAGACTTAGAGGCATACAGGTTACATTGCACAGGGTGTGCACTAGGTGAAATCAACGTTAACAAGATCATCATCATTATTTGAGTCTAGAGAGTCCATTTATCAGTCTGAATAGATTATGATTTTCCAAATGTGTTGCTATTACTTCCTTAATTATTGATTCCAATACTTTACCAACAAAAGACAGCAAATCACCCTTCCCCCCCAAAAAAAAATGAATGGAATCATAACAAATTTATGCTTGCTGTCAATACAATTAATTTGTTTGCTCCATTAAGTACTCCAAATGTCTTTTGGGGGACTCTAATCACCCAAAATCTGTTTAGAATGAGCTTAGAATGCAGATGTCCTTGTGATATGAACCAAACGTTCTTTCACATATATACATTTTCAGTATCTCTGCACGCAAGCCTAAGAATTGGCCAATTCAACTTTATATCAATGCACCATGAATGTACGGATTAGTCGCTATGAATGGACTTACTTAATTCAATTCATACAGTCGTGATGACCAATAATTATGCAAATTAAAACACACAAGACATCACTGGGGCTTCTACCTAGTTGAAAAAAGTTGGCTTTTAATTTTCCTTCAGTATTTATAATCTTTTTGTTTGAACAAAAACTCTTGTAGCTTTTTCTCTCATGTACCTGACTGCCCTTACAGCCTCCTAGTCTCAAAACATACCCTCTATCTCTTTCTCATCTGTTCACAGACTGACCATGACCATCGGTCTTCAAAAAGGAAATCAGAGGCTTTGATAACACAGTGTGGAGCTGGAGGAACACAGTAGGTCAGGCAGCATCAGAGGAGCAGGAAAGTTGACTTTTCCGGTCAGGACTCTTCTTCAGAAACTTTCCTGCTCCTCTGATGCTGCCTGACCTGCTATGTTCCTCCAGCTCCACACTGTGTTAACTCTGACTCCAGCACCTGCAGTTCTTACTATCTCTCAATCAGAGGCTTTGAGGTGTTTTTAAAGAGAATACCATTTGTATAATGGAACTGAAAAGTAACAGGTGTTTCCAAATACATTCCTTGAAAAAGAGTCAAAAAGCTGTCTTTATTTTGAAGAGAAAATGGACTGGATGCTTTCATGAAATGTTCTAAGTACATAAATGTTTCATATTTTTATCTGAAATATTCAAAAGAAAAAGAAAATCTTGTGTTTATAAAGCTTTCACTATATCAATTGTTGATATCCAAAGAAATTCAAGTCCAATAAAAATCAGCTATGAAGTACAGTTATGATTGGATTATAGATGGAGTTATTTTTGGCAGGATTACACAAAAAGTTAATAACTCATTAACATATTTTTGTTAATATTAATGGAGGAAGGAACCTAGGACAGGACACTGAGTGAGCATTCTTCTTTTTACAAAATAAGGCGTTGACCTGAATCCGTAACATCCCTACAGTATGGAAACAGGCTATTCAGCCCAACAAGACCACACTGAGTCTTTAAAGAACATCCCAGCCAGACTCACTCCCCTACCCGGTCCCTGTATTTCCCATGGCTAACCCACCTATGGACACCTTAGTACAGTCAATCCACTTAACCTGCAAATCTTTCGACTATGGAAGGAAACCAGAGCTCCCAGAGGAAACCCATGCAGACACAGCAAGAACATGTAAACTCCACACAGACAGTTGCCAGAGGGTGGAATTGAACCCAGGTCCCTGGTGCTGTGAGGCAGCAGTGCTAACCACTGAGCCACCATGCTGTAAATTCTCAGTTTAAAATCTCGTAGAGTCATAGAGACGTACAGCACAGAAACAGACCCTTCAGTCCAACTCACCCATGCCCACCAGATAGCCTAAATTAATCTAGTCCCATTTGCCAGCATTTGGTCTTTAGCCCTCTAAACCCTTCCTATTCATATACACATCCAGATGCTTTTTAAATGTTATAATTGAACCAGCCTCCACCACTTGCTTTAACAGCACATCTTGTGGGAGTGTAGCATTCTGTCAGTATGGCACTTAGGTTCCAGCCTGGACTATACTTGCTCAGCCATGCAATGATCCACCAGAAGGGAGGTGGAACTTGAAGTGACATCTTTTTTTGCTCAAAGAACACTACTATGCTGCCTTGAGACCTCCTCCACCCTAGATTATATGCTTATTTTATGGAATCAGGTTTCCAATTACAACCCTCTAAATCAATGAGAAAAATACTTACAAATAAATCAACCGACACTCGCTCTGAAGTATTAAAGGAATGCTCATTGCTCAGGAGAAATAGTCAGTTTTTTTGCAGCTAGTGCTTATTAAGTGCATGGTTAGCAGCTTAACAAGTGGCTCAGTGACAGTACTGCAGATGTACTCAGCCTGACTTCTGAGTTGTGCATCAGCTGCTACCCATGCAATTTTGCCCAAAACACTTAAGTTGCAGTAAGCTTACAACATTAGTACGCTTGTAGAAAAAAAGGTGAAAAGCAAGAAGTCGTTTAACACAGTCTTTTTGTGTTTATGGAGTAAGGACCCTCTCTGTGGTTTTCCTCTTTGAAGAAAAAGATTTGCATCAGGTGCACATCATCACAAACAGTTCATCGAATAGATGCAGTGACTTGCCTATTTCACAGCTGAGTTCAACCACAGTAACAAGCACTGGGAGTTTGAATGCTGAACTATAATCACAGTAAATAACTCTGCACTGGTTACACCTGAAAATTCTCTGTGTAAATCACTAAAATGCAAATTTGCAGCTGTATTCTATGTGGAGCTAGAGCAAGGAAAGCTCTGGAAGCCATTTACTAGATTATTGATGAGCTAGTCATTCAGAAACTATATTGAGGATGACTACTGTTCATCTTTATTATTATGTTTCATTTTCAGTTATGTACAAACACACAAAGAACAGCAGATGTCTGTGATTGTATTAAATGACTGCAATGCCCTTGAGGAGTTTAGCTAACCATATAAATGGTAAGATGGGATCTTATGCTGTTACACAGTTACCTAAACACTAAGATTGTGTTATGGCCTATAGACTCTGGCAGTTGCGTCTAATATTAAGTTGTATGTCTACACTTTTCAGAAAGAAATCAATTTGAGATTTTACATTTCTGACATTATATTTGAGCTAAACTAATTACAAAACTTTAGAACTGACTCACGCTGCGATAGAAAAGATGTTTTCTGTCCTATGATAATGAGGAATATTGTTTTCTGGGATTCAAGAAGGAATGTGTCAGGATTTACACCCAATGATTCTGGCATGTCCATTTCCTCCAGATCCACATCAGGGATCTGGGCCTCCTGCCTACAATTCAATAATGACAGGATAGTTGGTCAAGGAAGTGCAGAGTGACGGAAATTTAAAGTCAGGAACAGGAGGCTGTGATGGGAGTTGGATTTTCTGTCCAAACTTTCTGTGGTTAAAGAGAAACATTTTCAATATTCTCCACCGAAAACATTGTGTAATCTGCTGCACTTGGATACCAATCAGGAAGATTGACCAAGGAAGCTGCCCTACAAATAATCCATTCAAGCTGCAGCCTCTACTTGCACTTTGATGTCTTTGAGATAATACACCAATATCTCTCTGACTCCCTCCCCTATGGTTGGAGGTTCTTTCTGTGATACACAACGTCTTTCTAACAACGAGTCACTTCCAGGCTCACCATCAGGACTTACTTTCCATTCTTATCCTTCACGCTGCTTAACCTCACATTTAGGCCATGATCTTGAACATTTTAGCCAATGTTTAAACTTGAGAATAGCTTTTCCTGCCTAACTTACAATTGTTCCATTCAGCGGACTCTTCTGGAACATATGCCCAATTTAGGTGATTAGCCTTTGAGTGTGTTAGCCCAGTCCTCTGCATCATGATAACTCAGCCTATGACCATCTAGCCTCTAATCTATTGTATTCTCTTTCTTCGATCTGTCATTGCAAAACACACGATAGTGTGATGCACAGGATGCCTCGTCATTTTTTCTCAGCTACTTGGATTCTGAGAGTTTGTAATCTGTCTTGATTAACTATGGGGAATGAAGATTAGTAGTTTTTTTATAACCATGGTATTACCATCTATTACATCACCAGGATCTTTCTGTTCCTTATAGGTTTCAGTTTGTAATAGATCATACTCCAGGATTTAAATTGACCTAGGATTGTTTTATAAACTGTGTACAGCTGTCCATTTTCTCTGAAACCTCAACCTTCATGAAAGCATTTCACCTTAAATGTAACCGCTGTCAAATATGAAAAAAATAGTTGAAATGATTCTTTGTACACTTTGGATAGAAGGTCTATCACTGAGAACAGAAGATAATTTGGGATTCTCCCCAGTGAGTAATTAATAGGACTATACTTATTAACTGTCTGAAGTGAATTCTTTGCATGAACTGCCCATATCAGTGCAGCTTGGTTGATCTGCAAAGATTTTATGCAGTGTTTCGTCCATCACCATGAGATTCCTTTCACAGGGTCAGTTGCTGGAAGCACTTTCAATTGCACTAATCATAACGAGTCTTCACATGAACATACAAATATACAAAACAGGTGTACAAATGGACTATTCGGCCCCTCAAGCCTACTACACCAATAAATAAGATTATAGCCGATAGACTGTTGAATTTCACATTCCCTTCTACTCTCAATAACTTTTGATTCCTCTGCTCAACAAGAACATACCTACATCAGATTAAAAATATTCACTGACAGCCTTCTAAGGCAAAGGATTCCAAAGTCAATTAATGTTCTGAGGAAAAATAAAGTCTCCTCATCACTGTACTAAATTTAATTTTAATTTTAAAACAGCGCCCCCAAGTTCTGGACTCATCCACAAAAGGAAACATCCTTTCCACACTCACCTTGTCAAAACCATTTAGGATCTTGTCTACTTCAACCAAGTCACCCCTCAGTCAAATTGCTTTCTCATGGCCTATGTCCAGTTTCATTTGTGACTTTCTTAACTAAACATCAATGGTATCTCACCAGAGACTGCATCTATACAAATAAAGGAGCTTAGTGCAACTCTTTTAAAGGAATCACCACTCATTAGTGTCATCCCTGAACCTGAGACTGACTTTGCATTGATTCTCATCACCGACCAAATATTTAACTATGCGCTATTTAGTACTGCATAGTTAAATGAATCAGTAATCAGACTAAAGCTTCTTGTAACTATTACAATGGATTTCAGAACACAGACTGTTCTGCTTTGGAGATAGTAGGAACTGCAGATGCTGGAGAATCTGAGATAACAAGGTGTAGAGCTGGATGAACACAGCAGGCCAAGCAGCATCAGAGGAGCAGATTTTCTGAAGAAGGGTCTTGGCCCGAAACGTCAGCCTTCCTGCTCCTCTGATGCTACTTGGCCTGCTGTGTTCATCCTGTTCTGCTTTGAGCAGTTCATCACATAATGATATTTTGAATCAGGCCTGAAGATCCTGTTAACTGTCCCCTGGGTTTTCCTGGGGTTTAGCTGCATACTACTGGAGTGGCAAACCTATCATATGCTATGGCATCCAGATCTGTTAAAGGTATTTTCATCCTCAATCTTTCTGTCTGTAACTCTTCCTTTGCGCTCACATCTGCATCCAGTATCCATCCATCTTGAAATGCCACAATTATTTAGTCCTCCATTCTTTGTGTCATTGTGGAATGTCCATGGAGTATAATCAAAATGACAGCTTTCCTGCAATTTTTTTCAAGGCAGCTAACATTAGTTCGAAAAGGGAGTGACTGTGTAAGAATCAAATCCCTTTTAAGACCAACAGCTTGGCTATATATATAAAACACATTTTAGTAATTTAAATGCAAGCACTGGAGCAAGGAATTTCTATTAGGAGTTTCTACAGTTTTCTGTATAGCCTGTGAAAGTCAGTGGTTATTTCTACATGGAACGATTGCCCACCTTTTGAAATCTATGGAAGTCTGATCGTGCCTCGTAGATATCTAATAAATCATTACTCTAATAAATGTCATCTATGAAACCCTATAGAAGAGCTAACCCCTCCTCAAGCTTCAAACGATGGTCTTCCAGCTCAAAAAATATTTTGCTTCTGCTTTCATTCATTAGGAAGGGATAGAGACAACCCATACTTCATTTCCTATTTACATATCCTCTTTATTCTTCCATTGGACTCAAGGTAAGAAAACATTTATTGATAATCATATGCTGACAATTTACACTTGCTTTCAGTCATACGTCACAAAAAAAAACTATTCAGGTTGTTATCTTCTATCTAAAAAAAAAGTCTCCAAGTCTCTCTTTAAGTCAACTATTCTCCGCCACCATGTTAATCCTTCTACAATCAATTGTTGAAAATGACCAGAATTTAATATTCACTCAGTTTTAGACTTGTTCACAAAGTGAGACATAATAAATGTATTGCTCCTAACTTTACAACCTGTTACCAATAAGTCCCTTTTCATATGTGCATAAGTCATCCAATGAACGCCCACCATCTTTCATTCACATCATTCACACAAAAATCCTCCACTGCTTCATCAATGACCTTCCCTCTAATAGATGGTCAGAAGTGGAGATGGTTGTTAATAACTGTACAGTGTTCAATATCATTCATAATTCCTTAGATACTGAAGCACTCCATATTGACATGTAACAAGACCAGGGCACCATTCAGCATTTTGTCTTCTGATAGTGCAGAATAAGATAGAAACTCAGCATATAGTTGATGTGGTAGTTGATGTAGTAAACATAATGCCTGTTGGAAGTTGAATTACTCTACTTGATAGGAAGCATGTGGACAGGAAGATTTGAAAAAGGGCAAGCTTGGGCATTTAGCTAAGTGTGCTGTCCTAGGTTTTTGCTTGTCCTTTGTTACATCTATCTTGGGTTTTGTTTGTAAAATATATAATATGCTGTGAAATACAATGACTTTGGAGATCCTATTGGAGACAAACTGTAATGCATTTAAAATGTTGCTTCACAATCCTAGTGTAATGCTGATTAATCTTGATTACATCATGCAATGCCATCCTGCTTGCCTGGCAACGCCTGAAGAGAGAAGCATTAGTTTGGTAGGAACTACCTTACATTGGTTGTACAGAGACAAATGGCTGACAAGGAAAGAGACATAACTGATGCCCAGGATGTAAAGATTGATCAGCGTGATTTGATATTGATTCATCACTGGCCATCTAAACTTGAGTGGATATAACTCAAGTGAGCAAACTTGAAATAACTCCACAAAGGCTGGTATCCCGTCACCAGGTCATCCTTTACTTACATGTGCATATTACTTGGCACTGATCTGGCTTCATCAGAGTCAGCTCTCAGAGTGAACAGGATGTCTGTCAGCCAGGGCCCCCTGATTGGACCAGGTTAACAGCCCCAATCAGGGAACTCATA